ACTGGCGCCAGCTCGAGGAAATCGATGATCAACGGGACGACAGGTGATACAGGTGGCACTTACTTCGCTGCTATCGTGCGGTTTTTTATTAGTGATAACGTGCTTGCTACGATTTAGCAACCAAAATTACGCTGCTCTCCAGCGATTCTCCTTCAACAAGGCCTTATAACGCCATTAGCCGATGCCCAAAAAATGTGGTGTTTTAGGCGGGAGGGTGTCGCCTTTCTCATAAGTTCAGAGAGATCGTTGGTGCCTCTGATAAACGAACAAATAACACAAGGTTCAGTGGCAGATAATTTATTGTAAGAACCAATAGGAATACCCTGACTGCTGGTGATGTACAAGAAAGGATCCCCTGTAGCGGGCATGAGAGGGAAGGGAATCCCTACTTTAGCCCCGCCCTGAAGGAGCGGTGGTGACCGCGGGTTCTGGCCTATGCCAGAACAATTCAGTTGTAATCAAGGGCACGCTCGCTCGCTCGAGGACCGGCGGCGGACTAGAAAGCGAAAGTGCACTTTAGCGTTAACTTCTGAAACGAGCAGTGCCTTCCTTCCCCCCTCCCCCCCTACTTGCTTGGCATTTTCGCCCGGACGTTGACCGATGCTACCCATCTAACGCTCCGCTTCGAAATTTGATATAGTGAAGATAAGATTACGGTAGTTGCGGTTTCGAGAATCAGACGGCGAAGCAGTCTGTGCGTGTCGCGTCCACCACTGGAAGGAGGGCGCGTCCTCATTGTCCATCGCACTGCGAGGGTGTTCTCGCATAATAGTGGATATTTGAAGAGGGTATACGAGTCGAACATGTGACAAAGGAGGGTCTACCAACTAAAATGCCTTGCGATTCATTTTGATAGAAGCAAGAAGAGGAAATGGAAAAGTTGTTTGTTTGGCACTAAATAACCATATAAAACTGCGAAAGAAAGACCTGATTTTTTTGCAGCGTCATCTAAACAGCAGCATTAGACCTTGGCGTTTGTAGAATGTCCAACTTATGAAGGATGAAGGACAAAGTCTTTTGGGGTTAATGAATCCCGGAACGGCGACCAAGAAGAACTTCAATGAGGAGTCGACGGGAGCTTGCCACCAAGGACGGGAGCCCCAAGCTTTCTTTCTCTTTGAAAGCGAAGCCGTGGACATCACGAATATATCCTCCTTGATCTGACAAGGGAAGGATACTAGGTCGCAGTGGCCATCTGAGATGAGATGTATACGGCCGAATGTGTCTCCAGGTGAGTATCTCAAGTCCGCTTTCCAAATCTG